ACCAGGAAGCCCAGCCGGTGTGGCTCAGTGGTAGAGCATCAACCCAGGAACCAAGAGGTCACCAGTTTTATTCCTGGTCTGGGCACGTGCCCAAATTGTAGGCTCAATCTCCATTAGGGGGCGTGCAGGAGGCAGCGATTGATGTTTCTCTCTTACACATATTTCTACCTCTCTCTCCCTCTCCTTTCCTCTCTCCCTAAAAATCAATAAAAACATCTTTTAAAAAAGAGACATGAGGAAGGTGTACTTGGGTTCAACTTAAGTCCCAGGAATCCCAGTCAAAGGCATGGAAGACTCCCTGGCCTCAGGGTTCCCTGCCCTGGACTACTTGGCAGGGCAGCACCCGGGTGTATAAAAAAATGGAACAGTGTCCTTCACGTGGTGTTTGTGACTGTAAGTGAAGTAGGACCTCGGCTGTTTATTAAGCACCTACTGTGGTTAGCACTAGTGTGCACATGACAGGCACTCAATAGGTATCCCTGGGGAAAATGTTTTATTGTGTATCTTCTGTTAGGGTGTCTGGGAATGGGCAGCCAGTGCCAGGAGAAAAGCAGGTGGCCCCCTCACGTAGCCCATGAGCACCTCACAAAGGAGCCAGAGTGACTGACAAGCCCAGAAATGGGGGTTGGTGCTGCCCTGGTCCAGGAGTAGAGGGAGGCCCTTGTTTTCTCTGGGCAAAATCTTTTCCCCCCAGAAATTCTTCATGACAATTTTTTTCTAAGAAGAGCAGTCACAGTGAGACAAAAACCATGATTCCTCCCGGGAGGCCTCCCTCCCCTCCCGGGGGAGTGAGAGAGAACAAGGCGGGGAGGCGCTGAGACTCTAGTGGCTCAGTCTTGTAGCAGCCTAGCAGGACCCATGGCTGAGGAAAGGCGCAAAGCATGGGTGAATGCAAACAGCACCAATGATAACCACCACCACCGACTCTGCTGTAGCTGTAGCTCTCACCTTGCAGCAAAATGCTTGACATTTATTAACTCATTTAATCCTCACAATAACCCTCGGGGCCAGTGCTAGCATTACCTCCATTTCATGCGGAGCAAAACGAGGTCCAGAGAGGTAAGCAACTTGCCCTCAGCTAGTAAGTGGTAGTGCCAAAGATTACAGTCTAGGCAATTGACCAAATTGGCATTTCTATATACTAATATAATAAAGAAGATAAAATGGAATAATAAAGGCATTCAATTAATTCAAAAGAAGGAAGAAAAAGAGGAAAAAGGAAACAGATTAGATGGAACAAACAAAAAACAACTAGCAAGATGACAAACAGCAATGTAATTTAAACCTAACCATTTCAATAATTATCTATATATATAAAAGCCTAAGTGACTGGCAGACTGACCGACTGGCCGGTAGCTATGATGTGCAATGATCACCAGGGGACAGATGCTCAATGCACAGGCATAGAAACATGGAACAGACTGATGAATCTCATAGGGAAGGGGGGAGGAGGGAGGGTGGGAAGATATTAACCAAAGATCTTATATGCATACTAGAGGACTGGTGCACGGATTTGTGCACCAGTGGGATCCCTTGGCCTGGCCTGTGGGGATCAGGCCAAAACCAGCTCTCCAACATCCCCCAAGGGGTCCTGGATTGCCAGAGGGTGCAGGCCAGGCCAAGGAACCCCACTGGTGTATGAATTCGTGCACTGGGCCTCTAGTATTAAATATAAATAGGCTAAATAAATATTCTCATTAAAAGGCAGAGCTACAGCCTGGCTGGTGTTGCTCAGTGGTTGAGCCTTGACCCATGAATCATGAGGTTGTGGTTAGATTCCCAGTCAAGGCACATCCTGGGTTGCAGGCTCGATCCCCGATGGGGGGCATGCAGGAGGCAGCCGATCAATGATTCTCTCTCATCATTGATGTTTCTATCTCTCTCTCCCTTCCTCTCTGAAATGAATAAATAAAAAATTATTTTAAAAAAAGGATTTGTTAAAATGTAAAAGGAAAATCGGAATTCTGAATTACTCCAGGTTGATGGACTGTGGTTCATTGAATTTAAGTTTCAGGTTTGTAGTTAAGGTTGGACTGAAACTATTCTAGACCTGGCTCTGAGGCTGACTCTGACGTGGGCAAGTCTTTTCCTTATTTGTAAAATGTAGATTCTGAGCCTCAGTTTCCTTATTTGTAAAATGGGGCTCATTCATTCACTTATTTATGCAACAAACAATTTATTGGACTTTTACTTCATGTCAGGCTCTGTAGTTGCTTCCTTGAACAAAGGAGACAAATGTCCCTAATGATAAGGAGCTCACAGTCTAGTGGAGAAGACAGACAACAAACGAATAAAGGAAGTTATGAAATGTGAGACGATGATAAGTGCTCTAGTAAAAATAAAGCAGAGTAAGAAAGAGAGGGGGGCACAGGTGGGCCCAGAAAGGCATTCTGATAAGGTGCGGCGACATGAAGAAACCCAGGTGAGCCATGTGGACATCTGCGTGGGGGAGAAGAAGCATTCAAAGCAGAGGAAACATGGGGACAAGGGCCCTGCGGTGGGGGTCCACTTGGAGTCTTTGGGAAGAGCAAGGAGGCCAGTATGCCTGGAGCAGTGATCAAGGTCAGAGAGGTAATGAAATCCTCATCAGACAGGGCCCGTAGCCATGGTAACAGCATTGACTTTTACTCTGAATGAGGTGGGGAATCAGTGGGGGTTTCTCCAGAATTTGAGTGATGGGATCTGACTTGTGTTTTACAAAAGAATTATTCTACATGGACTACAGGGAGGCAAGGACACCAGGGGGACTGCATATGAGGCAAGTGCAACAGTGAGGGGAGAAGTACTGGAGGCTTGGATTTGAATGGTGATGTGGAGGTGGTGATGAGAGGCAGAGCTCTGGCTTTATTATGAAGGTGGAGTGAGGAGAATTGGATGATGGATGAGATGGGGGGTGAGAGAGAAAGAGAGACCAAGATGACTCCAAGGATCTTAGTCTGAGCAACTGGGTGAAGAAAGAGGCCATTTATTAAGATGGGGGGATAATAATACCTAATCCTTGTGAGGCTGTTTCAGGGATGAAATGAGATCATGTAAGTGAATGTACTTCCTGAACTTAAAACACTACGTGGATGTAAACAATAATAATTAGAAAGCCACTGAGGAGTTGCTAAGTCTCAAATATGCCCAGGTACCAATGTCTTAAGGCGAAAAGGCAGTGTTGATGTTCTTACTGACATTTTTCTATTCAATAAAGAAAAGTTGTTCTGAACGGGCCAGGGGCTCATTCAACGAGCCATAGTCCACCAACCAGGGGTAATTCTGAGTTTCCTTTTATGTTTCAATACACAGCGAAGTGAATACGACTCATGACCTCAGCCAGGCTTCTTAAAAACTCCTCTCTCTAATCCTCTAAGCAGCGACACTGCTCTGAAGTTTCTATCACTCTCCCCCACACAATGGGGCTCAGTAAAGCTATTTTAAGTTTAAATGAAAAAAAATGTAGTTCATAATATTTCCATTTTCCCTGAATCTTCTCTTATGCAACTAAGGTTGCTCCCCTGGCTCATGCCACGCTGACTCTGATGGTGCTGTATCCAGGTGCCCACTGTTCACTTCTCAGGACTATTCTAGGCCCTCCTGGTATACGTCCTGGCAGGGGTAATCTTTAAATGGCAGTCTAGTGATATTAAATAGCTATGGAACAGGTCAAAGTGAGCTACATATTTCTTCTTTCATCTATAGGATCAAGGTACCTGAAATATGTTAATAATTTTACAAATAAATCAACAGAAAAGTTCCTGAATCCAGATCAGTTAGTTCAATTTCCAACAGAGTCAAGGAAAAAAAATGTGGGAACTTGTCCAATGGAAAAAATAATACCTACGCCAAGTATTTGCTCTGGGGATGACATGAGGGAGTATTTGTGAAATTCCTGGTATGAGGCTCCCACAGCCAGGAATGTGGGTTGAGCTACTGATCCCTTTAAGGAAGATTTTAAAGAGCAGTTTTGAGGACAGATATTCATTCATATTTTTGGCCTGTCTCTTTGGTCTGCCCTCCCCTCCTCACTTTTCTTTCTCTGTCTCCCGCTGTGAGCCAGGGTTTTGCTAAAGATGCCAACTTCTCCCTGTGCTACAGAAACCCCACAGAATTCTCCAACCGTTTGCTTGAAACCCGGATGTATACCTTGAAGAGGAGTGAGATGCGGGAGAATTCCCATTCAACAGTTTGGAATATATGCCAGGAATATAAGAAGGAGGAAAAGCTGACTCCATATGAGTTGATTGTTTGAAGGTCGCCAAGGGCAACCGCTCACACCCTCTGTATGTAGTTGTTAACGAAGGTGCAAAGGAGGGAGTCACAGTCTGAGAAATCAGAATGCCTGGGACAAGGTAGATGAAGCCAATGAAACCTCTGAAGCCGGAATCACCCAGCATGCTTCTAGGAAGGCAGTGGCTGTCCTGGGGATCCCGGCCCAGAGGAGAAGGAAATGGTTCTATCTCGACAGTTAGCACCGAGGCAAACACAGGGCGGTGATCCTAAGAACAGAGGAAGCTTATGGCACAGCCGGCCCTCTGCTTCCATGGGTTCCGTGTCCTGCGATCCAACCAACTATGATAAAAAATATTCTAAAAATGGTAGGTTGTGGCCAGTGTCTACTATGCAGTCAGGCCTAGATGGCTGAGTCTGTACTGAACACGTACAGACCTTTTTTCTTGTCATTATTCCTTGAACAATATAGTATAACAACTGTTTACATAGCACTGACATTGTATGAGAAATGATAAGTAATCTAGAAACAACTTAAAGTTTATGTGAGGATGTGCCTAGGCTACATGCAAACCCTACGCCATTGCATCCTGAGGGGTCCTAGACCCAATCTCCATGCACACTGCAGACAACTGAAAATATGAGTGTAAGTATTTTAATAACCTCTCATGCATCTTTTGTGTTTCTTTCCATGTGGTTCTCTGAGGATCAGTTTTCCTATTTAGAAAACATGTTAAGAAATAAATAGAAGCGTGTCCAAAATTGCCCCTCAGAGAAGGAGCACTTACCCAGAATGCTTCATGTTTTGAGGCTTATCCATTCGGACAGCGAGTTTGATTTTGAGGTCTTGATCGGGGCAGTTTTTGGAGACTGTCATTTTGTGCCACTCTGACTGCTTGGGGCTGTTCGGGGTGGGATGGAGAATAACCTGTTGGGATAAAGGACAACCGTCTTAGCCGGGAAACAGAAGCGCTGCTATGGGCATGTTTTGGTGTATGAGAAACTTTGCTGCGGAGAAGCGTGTCTTGCGCAGGTTCCATCGCCCTAAGGGAGGGCAGTCATGTGAAGCAGATCCTGGCCATCGGACTCAGAACCAAGGCTTTGCCTCCCAACCCGGCTGCCTCCTGCCACCCAGCCCGGCCCGAGGACAGAAATGCTGTTCTCTGCTCCCTTCTCTCTCTCCCTGGCTAATTCTCTAAAAGTAAGGATTGTGGTTTCTGTGATTTTGCTCTCCTACTTTTCCAAAGCTCAGAAGCACCACAGCAACAGAGTGTTCTCCGCCCATCATCCTCTTCCCAGAGAAGACGGGTGTGAAGGGAAGAAACACCTTACATCTCACAGGGCACTGCTCGCCCACTCTTCCTCATCCTTTGGGATCCCTCCCACCATCGCAGCAGGAGAAGCCCTCAGAGGCTGCAGGGAAGGTGGGGAACCTTATTTGACGGATGGGAAATGTGCCATTTAGAGAGGGAAGGGACCTGCTGCCAGTCACACTTCTCAACCGATTTCAGCTGCACTTTCATCTCATCACAGGACGGCCCGCTCTGCCCTGACGGGAAGGGTGGGCTCGGAGACAGACTCCGCAGTGGCTTCGGGGATGGTGCGCCCTTGGGCCTTGTGCCTCAGGTCTCCCTGCCTCCGCAGCTGTGAGTGCAGCTCAGTGACTCGCCTTCTGCAGGGAGATGAACGAGTTCCCGGGAGCCACGTGGGGCCTGGGGAGCGTGCACCCGGGAGGAGCGGAATTTGGAAGATCCCCTGAACCCGGGAATGGGAACTAAACACAGGACAACAGAAGCTGGGCTGGCTGAGCTTTGCCTCCGCGCTGGCAGCCTGCCCTGGTTGCTTTGGCTTTGCTTTCAAAGCTATTTTCTCCAGGAGTGGGCAGGCCGGCCCCTCTCCTGGGCTCCTGTCACCTCTGGAGGGGCTGGGAGGGGCCCTGCAGAGGCTGCCCCGCTGTCATGGGAGCTCAGCCTGGGCTCGGAGGCCAGGGGCCCAGGGCTCTCTGGGCGACTGTGCATCAAGAGCTCCGAGAAGAGGAGGGGCCGAGGCAGGAAAGGACCATCCACCCCTTTCACAGGCCTCGCTTGTGCTGATTTTTCACCCTCTGACTCCAAGCCTGACCCTTCTTCTTTTTTTTTTTCTTTTTCCATTAAATTCCCTCTCTCTGATGAAGGGAAATTTGTATATTTTTGCCAAAGACAAAATTAGAGTCTTCTCAATGTCTTATGATTGAAATAAAAGAAATCCCCATATTTCAGACCACAGGCTGCCAACGTGTTTTTGACCATGCCCTACATCAGTAAGATATTTTTGAGCAATTGGCCCAATGTCTGTAACTGTATCACTATCAATATAAAATACATCAATATGAACACAGGCACGCCTCAGAGATATTGCGGGTTCAGGTCCAGGCCACCGCAATAAAGCAAGAATCGCAAAAAAGTGAGACACACAAAGATTTTGGTTTCTCTGTGTATCTAAAAGCTATGTTCACACTATACTGCAGTCTATTAAATGTATAGCAGCATTATGTCTAAAAGTACTTTTTTGCTAAAAAAAATGCTAATCATCATCTGAGCCTTTGGAAAAATTGTGCTGATGGAATAGCTCAGGCTTGCCACAAACCATCAATTTATTAAAAACAAACAAACAAAACACACAAAACAAAATGGGAAAATATGATATGCTGATATATAAATATCAGTAAAAATATATACCCATATATATATTTCACATTTATATGTCTACTTTGTGTTAACATTAATTACATATATCATAGAACATACACAAATATAGACGTCTTAAAATATGGGCTAAAGACAAAAAACTATAGTCTAAGTGTCTTGCGCATGGTGGTGGCTGTGTTCTATGATTAGCCTTACTTGCTGTATGTTCAGGGCAAGGCTGATCGTTAAGGGCATGGGATGTGAGTCTGCATTTCCCATAGTCCTGACTGGCGTGGGTCCTGTGTGATCACCGGCCGCTTAGTCTCGGGTGGTGACGGAACTCTGCGAGCAGGCCTGGGGGCAGGCCACCGTTTTCATGCTGCTTGCCAGGCTTGAATATTAGGACTACCTTCAATCAGAGCTCCTCTGTGGGAATCTCTTTGGGCATTTGTTCATTCTGTTAATTTAGGGTTAATTTAGCTAAGATTCGATCATCATATATGTAAGTTCACGTCACTGGCACCAGTGGCCTTGGACTTGCTGGAGGACGCTGGACGTAAATGAGTCAGGGGGACCACTCCCTGCCCTCAAGAGAACTCTGTCATCTACTGTATCCTGAGACCTGAGCCTGGAGGGTGGGAGGAGGGCTGCTGATCCCAGCGAGGCCGACCCTCTCTCCTGGGAGGTGAGGTGGGGTGATGTGCAGGGAGCTCAGAGGAGAAGCCCAGCCTGGGCCGGAAGACAGCAGGCCAGGCCCTGGGCCTCCTTCCCTCCTGCCCGTTTGGCAAAGTCAGTGGGAGCAGTGCCCTGGGCGCCCGGAGCTCGTCAGCAGGCCTCCCACCATATGGTTCTGGGCGTTTCCCACGGCCAATGTGATGTCTGCTTGCCAAAGCAAATGGCCTCTGCTCAGTACTGGCCTCTCTACAAACACTTCTTCCCCCACGTGGGGGCCTCTGGGGGGACCTCCTCTCCAGCGTGGATGGGGAGATGAGGTCACTGCACTCTCCTCTGTCTTCATCCCCACCCTCCTGACCGGTCGACGACTCCTCTGTACGCGTCAACCTTGCTGAATTATTAGGGTCCTTCTGGGTGCACGTAAGCCCGGCGCAGCCCAGACACCTCATCTGGACATTCCAGGCTGCTAATCAAGCACTTCGTCATCTCAGCCGCAGCCATGTGTGCTGTGCTTTGATGTGGTGATGCTGATGTGGGAACACAACTGGCCCCATGCAGGAGCGGTAAGCTGCCCCAGCTGCTCTTAGGAACCTGGGCACCCAGGCAGGTGCTCCCAGGGGACTGTTTCACCCTGATATCCCTCCCTACCTCTGTGTTCCCCTGGCTGGAAGGCATCCCCACCCCTCAGACTGGACTGTGTCCCCTGGCTATGGGCTCTCCCACACACTGCGCTCTAAGTCCTAGTTTTTATGTCCATAGCCTTTACGTGTTTTGAGGTTCAGTTTTTGCCTGCCATTATTCCTGTTTGCTCTGTGCATAGCACAAATGACAGGACACATGGGCCCACAATCATTTTTAATGCATAAAAATTGGATAGTATTGGAGTATGGGCATGGGTTTGGGGAAATAGTCACTCTCGTGCCTTTTGTAGAAGTATCAGTTGGCATATACTACTCCTTTGGGGACAATTTGGCAGTATCTATCAAAATTCAAATTTCATTCAGCAAAATACTTTTTGACATTTATCCTATACAGATACACATATATGTGCAAGGAAATAAATTGAAGATCATTTACCGAAGCTTTGTTTATATAGCCAAAGACTGAAAACAACCTAAATAAATTCTGATGCATCCACACAATGGAATACTATGCAGCTATGAAAAAGGAGGGAAGTCAATATGGCTGACATGGACTAATCTCCAAATACACTGATAATTCAAGCAAAGTGCAGAGCAGTATGCATACAATAATTTTCTAGTGTGTGCTCCTTTTTAAAGAGGGATATATGCACACATGCCTATATATGCTATGCTTGTATATGCATAGGCTATTTGCAATAAACTGAAAACAAGGCTCTTTCTTTGGGAAGTGATACTAGGGTGAGGTGGAAGGGATCAATGGTTTCACTACAAGTCCATTTAATTTTTTTTATAGCCTGCATGGCTTTTAATTTATTTATTTATTAAAAAGGTTAATAAAAATGAAACATAATAAAGATGAAACAAGTTACTACTGTGGGATGAATGAAGGTAGAACCGGGATTTTGAATGTGGCTGTGTCCTGCTACGCTTGGGAAGAACAGCATAGACCAGTGGTCGGCAAACTCGTTAGTCAACAGAGCCAAATATCAACAGTACAACCACTGAAATTTCTTTTGAGAGCCAAATTTTTTAAACTTAAACTATATAGGTAGGTACATTGTTATTAACCTAATTAGGGTACTCCTAAGCTGGCCTTTGCTAAAAACGTCCTCAATCTGATTGAGGTACGTTCGCTGAGGTCGACCCCTTCCAACTCTCCCATCCACACTCGTCTTGTATACTTGTTTCGTCTATCTCCTTTCGTTCATCCTCTCTATATGTCCAAACCATCTCAACATACCTTTCTCAATCCTCGACACTACATCTTCTTTCACTCCACAACGTTCCCTAAAATTAACTTAATAAACTTTACTTAAAGTTTTAAGTCAACTTCGCACTGTATGTGAGCGCCCGCATGTGGCATTTTGTGGAAGAGCCACACTCAAGGGGCCAAAGAGCCGCATGTGGCTCGCGAGCCACGGTTTGCTGACCACGGGCATAGACACACTCTCCTGAGGGCTCCAAGGCACTTCACATTGAAAAAGACCACTTAGCAGTCACAGCTGCGGCCTGTGGCGGTGCCACCAGCAGAGGGCGCCCCAGCTGGCACCAGGGCCCGCAGGCCAGCACCAGAGCAACTGGCAGGAACAAGTGTAAACTAGTATCTGGGGGAATATATAAGAGAGAATGATCTATTAAGAAAAGAATGGCTGTGTGGGGCCTGTGGCGAGCTCATGGCCACAGAGCTGAGGAGTGTATTTCTGCTGAGGACGCTGTGGTGTAGTAAAAGTGGCCCTGCGGTGAGGCAACATCACTCCTGGTGAATTACCACCTCTGGGCCCAGCGGGCCAGTCAGTATGGAGGAGTGCTATCTGCAGCTGCCTCATTAGGACCATGGTGAAGGCTGGACGAGGGGCTGCACATTAAGGGCTTAGGACAGTGCTGGCCAGCACTGCCTGGGCCCCAGCAAACCGGGGGGCTCTGGACAAGCTTCCTGCCTTTTCAGGAATCAGTTTCTCATCTACAAAATGAAAGGCTTTGACTAGCCCAGTGGTTTCAACTTTTCTGAGTGGGAACAGCTTTGAGAAGCTGGTGAAAGCTTTGAACTAGTGAGTCCAGAAAAATGCACATATCCGCTCCCCCCTGCCCCCCACCAACACACACACACACTATTTGCAGACAATTTCCAGGGGCTCCCGGGTCCCCTGGAATCCTCCCTGGACTCAGGTTGAGTGCTCCTGGGCTTGTCTCTTCTAACATGCATATCCTAGTTCTCTGAGACTCTCAGGATTCTTGACACGATTCTTCATGGAAAAAGAAGTTTGCAGAAAAATAAAAGGCAGGCAACTTCCCCATCTGTGTGCCTCTCCAGAGGGGCAGAAATGAATACTTGTCATTTCTCAAAGAAAACACTACACGTCTTCTTTTCTTTCATCCCCCTCCTTTTTGGGGGGGGGGAGCACTCTTTTTGCTATTAGCTTTGTTTGCTTTGTGTTTTACTTCCATCTGTGATGCGGGTCCCAGTAATATGACTCCAGGTCATGTCTACAGATGAAAGGCAGAAAAGGAAGTGAAAAGACAAAGGAAGAGAGAAGGAAGTGTGGGTAATGTGTTCTTGCTGGCGTTGTGATGTGCGCACACCTGTGTGCTTATCTTGGGGTATTCTCTTATTCTCTAGATAAAATATCAGAGGCCCAGAGAGGTTAGAAGTCTTGGCTGAAGTCACACAGCTTTCAGAAGGGATTGTTCATTCGGCCAGTGGGAAATGAAGTCTATTGAGAGTCTATGTGCTGGGCTCTGGGAATGGGGTGGCGGACAAATCATTTAGGTTTCTGTCTCCATGGAGCTTTCACAGCCTGGTGGGGAGGCCGGAGGTAAACATTTCTGTAAATTCTTCCTCTCTTTCTCTCAGTGGTGATAGGCTCAGTGGAAGATGTGAACAAGGGCTGCGGTAGCAATTAAAGGAGGATGGACAGCCAGCAAGGGCTCTCCAAGGAGGGGGGCGGGGGCATGTATAAAGAGGTAGCCTTTCAGAGATTCAGGAGGTGGGGCCAGGGCTCCAGGCAGACAGAAAGGCCCCGGAGGCGGGAAAGAATTTGGTTTATTTGAGGGACTCAAATTTGGCTGAAGATGCTGGGGCTCAGTGGCAGCAAAGGGCTGAGGAGGCAGGCAGAAGCCTGATCCCGGATCACCCGGGCCTTTGTAGGCTGCGCTCCAGAGCTCAGATGTTATTATATGCAGTGTAGGGTGATGGAAGCATTTCCAGCTAATTAACTTCCGGTCTGAAAATACCACTGGCTTTTTGGTGCAGCGTCAATAGTTGAGATGCAAGAAGAAATGCCTTTCTGATCTCAGTAGTACTCAAAGGGAGTGGTACCATCCACCGGATGTTTCAAAAATTGGGCGGGAGGACTTTTTTGGTTGAAAATCATTGGTGCTGAGCTCTGTTGGTGTGGTAGTTGCATGGTGGGCCCCAGGGATAGTAAACATCTGGGAACTGAGTGAGATAACCCTTTCCAATAGGGAATTGTCCTGCATCCCACCTGACTTTTGAGTATTCCCACTGACTATAAACGCAGGTGGGAAAACCTGTTGATAACTAACTGAGTCCATCTTCTAAAAGATTTGTTACCCATGCACTCAAAGTATATTTAGCACTTTTCCAGGGAAATAAAAGCAATGTTGTTACCAACACTTGTTTATCCATTCAATAAGTCAGTTCACTGGTGCTCAGGCTTTGGAGTTGCCAACCTCCACAGCGGATTTTTATAATTTCACATCTTGAAATGATACTATTATTGAGTCATTGCCTTTCATTCTCCCTTTATGTGATGTTGTGTTGATTTAGATTGTTAGGTAGGTCGGTTTGTTAAGTCACCTAAGACTTTCACTTCAGGATAGTAAAGGGCATGGAGCGCTTTGGCCTGAGGGGTGTGGGTTGGAAGGTTGGAGGACCCTGCTTGGTAGTTGGTCTTCGGCAGCGGGAAGCTGTGGTGACCAGATTGGGGGCAGGGAAGCTGAGGCTGGGAGAGGTTGAAGCACTTGCTTGCTCAAGGTTGCACCGTCCATGCAGAGAGCACCCCGGGATCTAAATGGCCAAGCCAGTCCTTCAGCTCTTGGCAATGCTGCCTCGGGGGACCTGGAGGCACCCGCTCTCTTCTGTGTGTACCGGCTGTGAGGGGAGCACTTACCCGCCCAAGTTCCTTGTCCTCCAAGGCCAGGACGCCGGTGCTCTCTGTGAACAGCTTCACCTTCACAGCAGGCAGCGCGTGGGTCGTGGAGAAGTCGCCCTGGGTGCCCCAGCTGTGGACAGAATGGGAGAGGTCAGTGTGGAGACCTCTGCCCGGATGATGCTAAACTCAGCTGCCTTCTTCCTGGGTCAGGGGAGTGCAGGGTTAACCGAGGCAGCGCTGGCTGTCACATCCTCCCTCCCCCCCCAAAAAAAGCTGCCACAGTGACAAAAAGTGTTAATTATCTTGTTAGGCAAATGCAAGACAGATGCTCAGAAAGTTGCCACGGGTCTTCACGGAGCACGGGGAGGAATCAGGAGGAGTTAGCATGAAATCAAGTGGTGAGAACTTTCCCTCATGCTCCTGCTATACCTACACATATTTTCAGGTAACCACTAACGAATATTTCCTCGCATCCTCGGAGTCCCTGGTTCTTAGAAGCTGCAGTTCCAGATTTTGAGATGGGGCTTCATTTGGTCTGAGCCAACACCTGACTTTAAAACGAGACTTCTGTAGTAGTGGGAAGTGGGGTGCTGAGGAGCCTCACTTCTCTTGGCATTCAAAGATGAGTGGGATAGAGAGTGGATGGAGCTCAGCCTGTCATGAAAGATGGAAGGAGGGAAGTGGTAAAGTCCCTTCCCCACTCATGGTGTGTGGGCATCTGAGTCTCAGACCACCCCAGAGGAAAGCCTGGCTTACCTAGCACAGGGTAGAGTGCCAGGCGGGGCTGACAGGAGCCCCTGAGGGGCCCCTCACATGTGGCCTCTCCATTCACTCACCTTATGGATACATTATAATTTATTTAATCATTGTTCTATTATTGAGACTGGGATGGACATTACTTTTTTATTTCAACTATGATCATTATTCTTACTTGCTATTACAGGGCCATCTCCACCCACTCTTGTATCTGAAACTTGACCTTCTGGAAGTGTCACTGCATTGCACTGAGCCCCTGCCCTAAACCCTCCCGTGGTAGCTGCTCCAATGCCCACAGATGCCATCCAGACCCCTTGGTGTGGTCTCCCATTCACCCGCTGCAGTGCCATGGGCGTCTGTCGAGGCCACCTCGGGCTGTTGCAGGGCTGTTCCCTTTGCTGGTGCTTCTTCCCACCACACCCTCCTTTTGGTTCTCTCTTACATCAGCTTGGACACCCCTTTCCCGGAGAACATGGCCCATGGTCTCCTGGTTTAAATTGGGCTCCAGTGTGAAACGCTCTTAAACGTATTATTTAATTTCCTGTCCTGGCAATCACTGGATTTTAACTGTTGATTGTATGATTGTTTATAGCTGAATCCCCTATGATTCTGGAAGTTCCGTAAGCACCGAGACTGTGTTTTATTTATATTGCATACCTAGTGCTTAGCACCTGGAATGCACTTAATGCGTTTTGTCTAAATGATGCCAAATATATATTCTTTTATAAAACTAGGAATCAGGAAGAGATAAAACTTTATATAGAGACGTTTCTTCATTTTGCCCTCTATGGTGGCCAATTTCCATATTGTAAAATATTCATTAGCTATTCTTTTTAATTACTCTCTAATACTATACCTTACCGGTACGTTATAATTTAATTATACATTATAATTTACTTAATCATTGTTCTATGATTGAGACTGGGATAGACATTTCTTTTTTATTTCATCTCTGATCATTTCCTTGGGACAGAGACCTAGGTGGGAGGTCATTTCTTTATGTGTCAATAAGCATGAATACTGTCAAGGCTTGGGACCCCTATCCCCAAAATGCTTTCCATAAAGGTGGGGACTGTCCTTCTACCACCTGGGAATGAGAGTGCACAACACAGGGCGTCTTGCCATCATTGGATGTCCCTAGTCACTTTTTTTTCCTGGCCTATTTTGTCATTATCATTTTCATGGGCATTTTTTGACTAACAGCAAGCTTGACTATTTTTTTCTGTTTGTTGGTTGCATTTTTTTTGGTAAGTGATAGAAATCTGACTTCTAATCTCACTGTTGCACTCAAATAAGTTCAAAGACCTGAGGGCTCTAGAGAGAGTTGGCAAGAGAGCACCAGAACAATGGGGGAGGGGAGCCCATACCCATGGGGGTCTGTGTGGGCAAGAACCATGAGGAAGCATAACAGCCACAATAGAGAAAGGAAGAGGACACAGACAAGGACACGAGCAGAACAAGAAGTTACAGGTTTCAAACCCAACAGCAGAATGTTCAGTGTATAGATAGAAAGTCTTAATTTTGATCGTCAGCAATTGTGGCAAGCCCCAAGATAGGGCAATTTCTGTCCGAGTAAAGGCGACTTGACAAGGCACAGCATTTTGAACCAGATATCCTTAGTTCAAATCCTGGTTAATCACTTACATACTGTAGGACTTGAGGCCAATTAATTAATGTTCCTTTATCTCATGTGCTCAGCTATAAAATAACCTAATTTCACAGAGAAAAATAGTAGCAGGCTTGGAACAGGAGGAAAACACAACACATTTTGGCTTCCTTCCCTTCTCTGAATAAGGATATGTCAGACGTATTCTCCTAAGGGTGACGATCACTCATGTTTTGTGTTATCTACTCAACACGTATCTAGGAAGCTCCTTAACTAAGTCTGTCCCTTTGCTGGGCAAGCAAGACAGATACTGTCCTTCCTACTACACAAGGTAACTAGTAAGACTGCTAGTATCGTCCCTATTTCACAACTAGAGGCCCGATGCACGAAGATTTGTGCAAGAATAGGCCTTCCTTCCCCTGGCTGCTGGCACCGCCTTCGCTCCGGCCTGGAGCCGCCTGCTGCCTCTCGCCTTGTCATGTCAATTTGCATATTCCCTCCTTATTGGCTGTGGATGTCGCCATCTTTGGTCCAAAGTTATGGTCAATTTGCATATTCTGTCTTTATTACATAGGATTGAAAAAACAGGAGAAACTCAAGATCTTGTGTATCTTATGCCAGTGAATTGCAACTAAGTTGGCCTAGAACACAAATCTCTCAATTCCTAATTTACAGCTCTCACTTTGATTATTGTCATGATTATCAACAACAAGCACTATTAATGATTAGCAAATAGGCGAAAACATGAGCATTAAATTATTATTTATGATTCATTGTGCTAATTATCTCTTTGGGCATTTATCATGGTTGGTTATAGGGATGAGGAAGATTCCTGCTGGAAACCAGGATAGTTCTGGAATGAGATGCTTTCACACTGAGCCACCAAGAGCCCTGATCCCAGTGCCTGGGGCCCCCCACACTGCATCCCCAGGATGCTGTCCCTGAACCCGGTGTGCGGGATTTTGTGGCCTGCTCAGCAGGCACCAGTCCAGTCTGCTTGAACCCCAGCTACTACCCAATGATGCTCAGCTCACAAGGCATTCAACATGCCTCGGACTGTGGGGCAAGGCGAGGCCTCCAAGACCCGGTCAGCTGGATGGAGGTCACGCTGCTGGAGGCCACCCTGACCACCCCTGGCCACCGGACACTGAGCTGCTTTCCCTTCCCACCAGGCCCGCAGCTGTGCTTTTGGCTTCCTACCCTGACCCTCGGCTCACCTCAAGTTGTTAGGTCACTACTGAACCCCACGTTACACGGTTTCAAAATGGTAACCTGGCCCTGTGGAGCAGGCAAAAAGAGAGAGTCTCCAATCTAATCAGAACTGGCTACATTTTCAGTGCCCAGTGCTAAATGAAAGTGGGGGCTCCTAATTCAAAAAGCATGAAAAAAGTGCCACTCAAGGTACCAAGATGTGCATTTTCCTTTCTCTCAGTATTTCCTTTGCCCAAATGCACGTCCCATTGTTTCATCAAACTTCACTTACAAACACAAGTTCAAAGACAAAATTATTAAGAATTTCAAGATGGCAACAACAGAGCATTTCACCCAAATTAAGGCCTGTGTGAGCGTGGGGCCTGTGCAGCTGCTGAGTCCAGTGTCCGCCAGTCTGTTCTGCCCGGACTGAGGAGGGATGGCTGGGAGGTTGTTCTGCATGGACGGAGAGGGCAGCAGTGGGAGGCTGTTCTGCATGGACGGAGGGGGGACAGCAGTGGGAGGCTGTTCTGCATGGATAGAGGGGGCAGCAGTGGGAGGCTGTTCTGCATGGACGGAGGGGGCAGCAGTGGGAGGCTGTTCTGCATGGACGGAGGGGGCAGCAGTGGGAGGCTGTTCTGCATGGACGGAGGGGGCAGCAGTGGGAGGCTGTTCTGCATGGACGGAGGGGGCAGCAGTGGGAGGCTGTTCTGCATGGACGGAGGGGGCAGCAGTGGGAGGCTGTTCTGCATGGACGGAGGGGGCAGCAGTGGGAGGCTGTTCTGCATGGACGGAGGGGGCAGCAGTGGGAGGCTGTTCTGCATGGACGGAGGGGGCAGCAGTGGGAGGCTGTTCTGCATGGACGGAGGGGGCAGCAGTGGGAGGCTGTTCTGCATGGACGGAGGGGGCAGCAGTGGGAGGCTGTTCTGCATGGACGGAGGGGGCAGCAGTGGGAGGCTGTTCTGCATGGACGGAGGGGGCAGCAGTGGGAGGCTGTTCTGCATGGACGGAGGGGGCAGCAGTGGGAGGCTGTTCTGCATGGACGGAGGGGGCAGCAGTGGGAGGCTGTTCTGCATGGACGGAGGGGGCAGCAGTGGGAGGCTGTTCTGCATGGACGGAGGGGGCAGCAGTGGGAGGCTGTTCTGCATGGACGGAGGGGGCAGCAGTGGGAGGCTGTTCTGCATGGACGGAGGGGGCAGCAGTGGGAGGCTGTTCTGCATGGACGGAGGGGGCAGCAGTGGGAGGCTGTTCTGCATGGACGGAGGGGGCAGCAGTGGGAGGCTGTTCTGCATGGACGGAGGGGGCAGCAGTGGGAGGCTGTTCTGCATGGACGGAGGGGGCAGCAGTGGGAGGCTGTTCTGCATGGACGGAGGGGGCAGCAGTGGGAGGCTGTTCTGCATGGACGGAGGGGGCAGCAGTGGGAGGCTGTTCTGCATGGACGGAGGGGGCAGCAGTGGGAGGCTGTTCTGCATGGACGGAGGGGGCAGCAGTGGGAGGCTGTTCTGCATGGACGGAGGGGGCAGCAGTGGGAGGCTGTTCTGCATGGACGGAGGGGGCAGCAGTGGGAGGCTGTTCTG